GCTCCCACCCCGCCATCTTGCCCCCGGTCCTGACGTCCCCTGACAGGACTTTGATTGCCCATGAACTGGACCGTGACAGTTGGAAGGGATCCAAGGGTCATCTAGTTCAACCCCCTGCCATGCAGGAAATCTCAGCTAATGCATCCATGGCAGATGGCCATCCAACCTCTGCTTAAAAACCTCCAAGGAAGGAGAGTCCACCAGTCATGGACTGGCTGGATGTAGTAGACAAATGGTGGGAGGAACCAGGTGGGGAACCCCCAAGGGAAGAAGGCTCAGAGCCAGGGGGTGGTGGGACAACTCTGAGTGGTCAGATGGAGATGAGGGAGCAGACTGGGAGGAGAAGGTGCTGGAAGCTGAAGAGGTAACAGGGTTTAGTGAGCAGGGAAAGCATCTTTTCCTGTTTTCATCTGAATTATCTCAACTCCCTATACAGCCCTCCAGCCAAACAATGTGAAGAAAACTACATGTGCTAGGGTAAAGTATCTATCAATGACAGCAATGTGCAATCGTGCATTAGCTTAAGAACAGCGGCTTGCAGAAAGAAGGGATGTTAGACAAAATGATATACAGTTCATAAATGAGCATGTGTATACTAAAACATTGGCAATTTTCATGAGCGCTTAACAAAAATTCTGCAAACTGAAATGTGATGAACTGAACTTAAGAATGGAAAAATGAGAAACTGAGACACACCAAAACAGACAGATCCGACCGTTCCCCAAAGAGAAGGAGGGCAAGCAAGCAGCCAGGATCCCATCCCCCGAAGGAACTTTCCATGCATTACCTTCGAAATGTGTAGATTCCTGAAATCTAGAAATTATGGGTTTGCTTTTCATGTGGATGCCATAAATCAGTGTATTTTTACACACGCTGAAATGACGCCAAGAGACAGTGCTAAAATGTCTAAATCCGGAACATGCAAGGAGAGTGTTAGCAGAGGCCAGATTTCTCCAGCAGACAATATGGTGGGACGTATATTTACTTGCAGGACAACTGTTTTTGGACTCCATCGAAAAGGGAGGAGGGGAATGGGGGTGAATGAGGAGGTTTTAACGCAAATGAAACATCCGAGGAATTTCTGGGGAAGCGAAAAATGTTTTGACAAGGCTAGTGAAATGTATCAGGGACACACGGCACTCATGAACGCAGGCAGACACGAACAACGGGAGTCATTTGCATTTTCAAAAGGAGAGAAGCCATCGCTTCTTGCTCCCAGCATGCCTTGGTGCGGCATGAGATGGGGAGGAGAGGTGATAAGGAAAGGTCTCAGCATTTTGGACTTTTCCTAGAAACTTATGAAAATATGGCATGGAGAAGTAATAATAATAATAATAATAATAATAATAATAATAATTTATTTATAACCCAGCCACTCTGGGCGGCTTCCCCCCCCAAAATTTTTTAAAATACTGTAATACATCAAACATTAAAAGCTTCCCTAAACAGGGCTGCCTTCAGATGTCTTCTAAAAGTCTGTTAGTTGTTGTTCTCTTTGACATCTGGTGGGAGGGCGTTCCACAGGGAGGGCGCCACTACCGAGAAGGCCCTCTGCCTGGTTCCCTGTAACTTGGCTTCTCGCAGTGAGGGAGCCGCCAGAAGGCCCTCGGAGCTGGACCTCAGAGTCTGGGCAGAACGATGGGGGTGGAGACGCTCCTTCAGATATACTGGGCTGAGGCCGTTTAGGGCTTTCAAGGTCAGCACCAACACTTTGAATTGTGCCCGGAAATGTACTGGGAGGCAATGTAGGTCTTTCAAGACAGGTGTTATGTGGTCTCGGCGGCCGCTCCCAGTCACCAGTCTAGCTGCTGCGTTCTGGATTAGAAGGTAGATAGAGGAAAGTTTTTTCTCCTCTCATAATACCGGAAGTCGTGGACGTCCAACGAAGCTGAATGTTGGAAGATTCAGATAAAAGGAAGGACTTCTTCACACATAGATAACCTATGGAACTCATTTCTGCAGGAGACAGTGATGGACACCAGCCTAGATGGCTTTAAAAGAGGGTTAGACAAATCATGGAGGAGAGGGCTATTGATGGCTGCTAGTCATGATGGCTCAGCTCTGCTACCACAGCTGGAGGCAGCAATTCTTCTGAATACCAGTTGCTGGAAACCACAGGAGGGGAGAATTCCTCTTGTGCTCAGATCCTGCTTCCAGGCTTCCCGCAGACATCTGGATGGCCACTGCAGGAGCAGGATGCTTCACTAGATGGACCATTGGCCTGATCTAGCAGGCTCTTCTTTTGTCCTTAACTTTTTGCACAAAGAGTGGCTTGACCAAGGCTGCAATCCTCTGCAAAACTTACCCAGAAGTCAGCCCACTTAGTGTAGTGGGACTTCCAAATTAACATATATTGGTTGTGTTCCCAGCAGCTGAGGCTGGTCCATTAGGGAAATTTGGGGGACTGTTCCATCAACCTCCACCTGCCCTCAGTCCATTCCCATACCCTCCGACATTCCCCAGATGAAAATAGGGTCATTCTATGCTACATCAGTATCACGGCTTGGGAATTTCCTGCTGGTCAAGAGCAAAAGTTGTTAGAGGAAACACACAAAGCATAAATCCTTGGATTTATGTATTGCATTTAGGGAAGCCTGCGGGGAAAAGAAAACCCCAAATCAATAAATGCAACTAAATAGCAGTGATACTGACGCAAAATCGAATGTCCCTAGTTTCACCTGGAGAACGTTGGAGGTGTATATTCCCACCTGCTTGCCTTCTTACTGACAACCAGTCCAGCGGGGTAGGACTCCAGTCCTCCTTAATTTCAGTGATGCCCTTTTGCAGAGCTCAACGGGGAGGGGGATAAGCGCCCAGGAAGAAGTGTTTGGCTCTGCTTGTCATTGCCTTTGGCTCCCCCTACTGTTGGTCTCCCTGCCTTCTGCCCAGTGGGCACCAGCCCCCGCTGGTTGTAAGGATGCAACTTATCTCCTCCATTCCACTGGAACTACAAGTCCTTTTAAAAACATTTTTTTAAAACCTTTTGCTTCCAGCGAAGCTGAGCACCCTTCAAAACACAGCGCTCTTCTTCTGGCGTCTTAATTTGCCCCGAGGCATCTCTATGCATATGTCAACATACACAACTGTGGTGCCAATTTGGACCATGGCCCTGTGCGCCGAACCTTTTAAGTACCTAGTGAAATCCCTGGCAAGCGAAAAACTGAGGATAAACAGGCAGGACAAATGCACATTATAGGAACACGAAAACAGCCGTGCTTGCTGAAGCCTCAGAGGAATCATCTAGTTTAGCATCCTGTTATCACAGTGGCCAACCAGTTACCCATGGGAAGGCTGCAAGCAGGTCCTGGGTGCAATAATTCTCTCCCACTTGTGTTTCCCAGAAGCTGGTATATAGAGGAATTCTGCCTCTGACAGTGCTAGTAGAACATAGGCATTGTGGTGAGTAGCTGCTGATAGCTTTATCCTCCCCAAAGTTTCCAACAAACCCTTTTAAAGCCATCCAAGTTGGCGGCCATTGGGGTAGAATATTTTGTGGTTTCATGATGCACCAGGAGAAGAAGGGCTTCCTTTTGTCTGCCCTGAATCGCCCACCATTCTGAATCAACAGAAATCTAGTCTCTGGGTCAAGGGAAGTCATGGTACCACTCTATTCTGCCTCGGTCAGACCATACCAGGAATCCTGTGTCCAGGATTATAAGAGAGGAAGAGAGAAGTCATAAGATCTTATGAAGAACCTGCTGGATCAAGCCAATGGTCCATCTAGCCCCACATCAGCAACTAGATGCCTACTGAAACCTCGAAGCAGGATTCAAGCACAAGAGTCCTCTCTCCTCCTGCAATTTCCAGCAATTGGTGTTCAGAAACACCCTAAAACAGGATTCGAACTCATGCTTCTCCTGCAAGGTCCATAACTTGCCTTTCCCCCAGCTGCTGCTGCTGCTTGTGATGTTGGCCGAGTCCTGGGGAAATGGAGGCAAAGTATGTGACAGTGGAGACAGATTCCTGCCTGCCCCCCTTTCCCCGCTTTTTCAAGCCTTCCTACAAGGGCTGGTCTACCCGAGCAGGAAAATGTGCTGACAATGCGGTGGTTGCAGCTTCCTAAAGACGTTTGGATAAAATTACTGTGGGCATCATGTGCCGTTCCCCAAGCCAGAGGAGCTCGTCCCAGCCCCACTTTGGAAAACCCAAGCTCTCCTCGCTGCTCCAGTTGCAAGCAAGGGAGCCTCCTGACATGGTTGCAGGAAATCTCCTGGTCTGATTCCACTTCTGCAGGAATCCGGCCAACATCATTTAATCTGTTTTCATTCCTGTTTCATGAGAAGTGAATAATTAATGAGAAACAGAGAAAGTGGATGATCTTTTCTCTCTCTATTTTTTTAAAGTGAGTGAGCAAGAGAGAGAGAGAGAGTCTAGCAATGAATTCAAGGGAGAGGAGAAAGTTTTTGTTTGACTAAGGGGGTCATCAGACGCAGATTGGGGGCGGGCGGAGAGAGGAGCGTTGCCATAGCTGTGAAATCATAGCAAAAGTGGAGCTGTCGCTGGGGAAAAGCCGGCGCTCAATTAGCAAGCTGCCAAACCAAACCATCACTCTCCCGCTTTGCCTGCTGGAGACACAGAACAGGGTCAAGATTCTGCTATGGTTTAGAACCTCTCTTGTTTGGGCCCCGTAGGATTGAGTTTGGGACGGTTTAGGACTCTGCTATCTGGTCTAGTCTCAGGGCTACATTAAGGTAATTCAGGGCCCCAATGAAGATCCCAAAATAGGAACCCTCTTCTTGCCAAAGAAAAAGTGGTGTTTGAAATTAAGGTGCCAGAAAATACACCTCGAGACATCTCAAAGACTAAGCAAATTATCGTTACATAAGCTTTCTCATGCTACAAAGCAATACTCCGAGCAAGGGCAGGGTCACACATCTCAGCAAAATGGTGTCCAGTTCTGGGTGCCGGAATTAAAGAAGGATGTTGAACAAGCTGGAAGGTGTGCAGAAGAGGGCGACTGAAATGATCAAGGGTCTGGAAACCAAGCCTGATGAGGAACGGTTGAAGGAGCTGGGTATGTTTAGCCTGGAAAAGAGGAGACTGAGAGGAGTTTTGATAGCCATCTTCAAATATCTCAAGAGCTGTCACATGGAAGAGGGAGCAAGCTTGTTTTCTCCAGCTCTGGAGGGTTGGACTTGAACCAATGGCTTCAAGTTATAGGAAAGGAAATTCCGACTCAACATCAGGAAGAACCTTCTGACAGTAATAGCGGTTCAACAGTGGAACGGTCCCCCTCTAGAGGTTGTGGACTCTCCTTCCTTGGAGGTTTTTAAGCAGAGGTTGGGTGGCCATCTGTCATGGATGCTTTAGCTGAGTTTCCTGCATTGCAGGGGGTTGGACTAGATGACCCTTGGGGTCCCATAGAATTGTATTCTATGATTCTATGAAAACCCAAAGAGATAACATTTTGGGAACCTGAAGGAACAAAAAGGAAAGGTGCTGGTTATGTGCAGTTTCACATTTTAAACTCACTTCTCGTAGTTTTTGCTCACTTCTCAGCCTGACCTGCCTTGTGAAGATATAGAAGGTGACATAAAAGAAATGGAAAGCAGGACTTGTTGACTATATAAGAGGCATCATTTCTGGGTTCCATTAACCAGAATAAAAGTCCATGTTTTTCTGGACACTACACCTCTTCAGACTAGTACATCTCCAAGGCTTTAACCAGTCTTAATTTAGCCTGATTATTGCATGTTTTACCAATGCATAAATCCTATTTGTGTTCAACTGCATGGGGGACTGATTCTTAAGAGGAATTAGGCCTGTAGCCACTGAGGGCTGGTGGGGGGGGGGACTGTGGAAAGCAGAGTGATGTACTTTAATTTAATTTTAGCCATTTTAATTTTATAGGTAAAATAGTAAGGTGTTGGTATTTTTCCTAATTGCCCAGTTAAAATGCCTGCTCCCAGTTTTCACTGCTCTGCCCCAACAGCAAAACCACTGAGATAACTAGCAGGATTTTAAAATGTTACAGAATAATTCCAGATTTCTGTGGCTTAGGTCTGCCATCGACAGCATGAACATGACATTTTATTCTGGAACGAAAGGAGACAGGGTCCTTGTTTCTCCTACGCAATCCAGACCTGTGACATACTTTTTGCCCCTGAAAAGGGCTTCTTGAGAAACTGCTTTTGTTCCAAAATTAATGCTTGTGGCAGGTTGAGTCTGTGCCTATTTGAAAGACAGACCTGGTCCCAGCAATGTGATGTGTGTATTCACACCTGCAGGTGGAGGTGTATGTGTTGAGATCACAATCACCACTTCCCTCCTTGGTCCCCACCCCACAGAATCAATCACAAAGCATGGCAATGCCCATCAACGGGGGAGGGGCTCAAATATTCCATTGGGGGAGCCGAAGAGACCTCATCTCCTAGGAGTTGGCTCCTATGGGCAGGAGATCCTTTTCCAACCACCCGAGTCCTTTCAAGTTAGCAGAAGGTGGTGCGGATTGAACTTGCCATGGAATATCCTTGCTCTGTGAGTGGACTAAGAACCTAAGAAGAGACATGCTGTATCAGGCCCATGGCCCATCTAGTCCAGCATCCTGTTCTCACAGTGGCCAACCATTTGCCCTCAAGCAGGACCTGAGCAGAAGACCCCTCCCCGCTCTGCCCTGCGGTTCCCAGCAACCATTGATGGCTAGCAGCCACTGATAGCCTTTTCTTACAGGAATTTGTTCCATCCTCTTTTAATGCCAAGTTGGTGGCTCCTGTGGGAGCAAATCCTACCATTTCAACTGCCAAAACTGTGTTTTAACTTTCAGCTGTGATTCCTGTTATGCAGAGGGTTGGACTGGATGACCCTCAGGTCCCTTCCAGATCTACAATTCTATATAATAATATAATAATAATTTATTACTTATACCCCACCCATCTGGCCAGGCTTCCCCAGCCACTCTGGGTGGCTTCCAAAATAATATTAAAAACACGATAAAACATCAAACATTAAAAACTTCCCTCAGCAGGGCTGCCTTCAGGTGTCTTCTAAAAGTCAGGTAGTTGTTTATTTCCTTGACATCTGATGGGAGGGCATTGTAGTGGTTAAGAGCAGTAGACTCGTAATCTGGTGAACCGGGTTCACATCTCCGCTCCTCCACATGCAGCTGCTGGGTGACCTTGGGCTAGTCACACTTCCTTGAAGTCTCTCAGCCTCACTCACTTCACAGAGTGTTTGTTGTGGGGGAGGAAGGGAAAGAAGAATGTTAGCCGCTTTGAGACTCCTTCGGGTAGTGATAAAGAAGGATATCAAATCCAAACTCCTCCTCCTCCTCTTCTTCTTCTTCTTCTACTACTACTACTACTGAGGGTGCCTGGTTCCCTCACTTCTCACAGGGAAGGAACCGCCAGAAGGCCCTCGGTGCTGGACCTCAGTGCCGGGCTGAACGATGCGAGTGGAGATGCTTCTTACTGGGCCGAGGCTGCATGAAGAAGTACTTGCTTTCCTCTGTCCCAAATCTTCCAACATTCAGCTCCCTTGGAATGTCTGTGAGTTCTTGTGTTATGAGAGGACACTTCTGCTACGAAGAAGAAACCACTGCGAAAAAGCAAACCATGTCTAATGTCTTAGCTGAGCAAAAGCCAGCATCTTGGGCTGGACGTGGGAGGGAGAGGAGGGGTCCTCTGAGCCATAGCCTACCACCCAAGGAGGTAAAAAAAGCACAGGCTGATCTGCTAATAGTAGCCCCCCATGGGATTCTCGGCCTCCCTCCCCTCCCTCTCACCACTTCCCTGCTTGTCCTTGATGGATGAACACCCAGCTTGTTAATTTCCCCCATTTTTTTATTATCACATCCCTGCACACCTGGAAGTGATGGAGCAGGATCTCTAGGAGGGAGGGAAAAGCCCATCAGCTGTGATGTCAGCTGTCACTCGACACAGCTGCAAGCAGAGACCCCTGGGATGTGGGATGCAGTGAAGGGAAGGGGGCAGCCTCCATCCCCAGAGCAGAAGGGCCTCCCGCCGTCTCCATTGCACACCGAGAGGAGGTTTATCTCTTCTCGTTGGCTCTGGGACCTGGCTCTGTCCTGAGTGATTTAAGAGGAGGAGGACAGAAGGGTCTATTGTTCGGGAAAACAGAGAAGGGATGGGAGGAAAGGAGGAGCTGCAAAGGATGGGACTTGGTTCAGATTCCCTGCCTGGGAATCCGGTCAGAAGGAATCCATAAAGCAGTGGGGAAATGAGGAGGGTGTACCTGGAGGCCCATCCTGGAGGGATGGTTTTTCTAATGGATGAGCCTGCGGCCAAGATCCAAAGGTGTTCTTGAAGCCTGCTGGGGGACTCATCTCGAAGAAGGAGGGAGGAACATCTGCCTGGAGCTGCTGCTTTTTTGTCTGCCACCAGCATCATGAGTAGGAAGAACTTTCTGGCAGTAAGAGCTGTTCAACAGTCAAAAAGAAGGTGGTGGACTTCATTGGAGGCTTTCAAGCAGTCGTTGTGTGGCCACCTGCCAGGAATTTTTTAGCTGTGATTCTTGCATTGCATTAAGTTGGACTGGTTGAGTTGTGGGGTCCCTTCCAACTGTACAATTCTGCAATTCTATTATTCTATCATTATCATTATCATCATTATCTTCCTCTGAACGCCTCAGCATTTATGGTACTCCTGCAGGTACCTTACAGCCCTACACCTACAATCCCCAGACTCCAGATTGAGAACCTTGAAGGGCCATATTCCTTCCTAGACATTCTTCAGCAGCACGTATTAACAGCAAAAAACAGCACATCCAATGTCCCTGGAATCCTTCTAGCAACAAGAGAAAGAGGGGCCAACTGGACCGGCTCAAGACATTTTCATACCTGAGGCAAACTACAAAATAGCACCTCCCTCCCTGCCTGGGACAAAGGAGTGAGTGAAGATTTACATCAGGAACAAGGAGGGGGGAAATAAAAATCTGCTGCCCCTGTGGCTCTTGCCACCTAAGGCAGTTGCCTCACCTTGCCTCATAGGTGGGCCAGCCCCATGGGTCAATACTATTAGTTATCTCCTGCTAAAGATGGTTGGCACCAGAGATGGGAGGCCACCTTAGCGAGTTCATGGAGAATGTGAATCATGGAATTATGGCCTCCACCCACCCGAGCTCACAATCTTTTTAGGGCCTAGTCTAGACTAGATTAGGATCTCTGAATCCAGCTTCTCTGCTTTTTTTAACTGTAGTTTTGCAGCACCTGGAGCATATATGCAAGCACATAGACCAAGAAAATGTCTGTCGTTACCAGGAATGGGAAGTGGAGAGGCTGTGTGTCGCAGGACAAGATCTGTCCCATCACTATCTGGGCTCTGGGACAGATTGATTCCTTACCACCACCACTTTGCTCTCACATTTAGTAATGTAGTTATTTTGTCCCATAGGACACAGACAGGAACCCCAAGACCCAGTGCCACACCTTACCTTCCAGCCAGGGAAGAATTTTGCATGCAGTCCATGTCTCCTTAGAGGGGTTGGGGATTTTGTCAGCATGATAAGCTCATAACTTTCACTTTGCCAGCATTTCTTATGAAGGAGAGAGTGGGAACTTCTTCCCCATGGAGTGGATAGTGCCATTATATACTTTTGTCACTAGGTGGCACTGGACTTAATTGTTTTAATTATTGTGTGTGGCTTTTGGTGTATTACAATTGTTGTAAACTTTGATTTTTTAAGAAATGAAATATATAATATACAAAGGTAAAAACGGTAAAAGGTAAAGGACCCCTGGACAGTTACGTCCATTCAAAGGCAACTATTGGGTTGTGGCACTCATCTCGCTTTCAGGCTGAGGGAGCTGGCGTTTGTCCACAGACAGCTTTCTGGGTTGTGTGGCCAGCATGACTAAACCGCTAATAATAATAATAATAATAATAATAATAATAATAATAATTTATTTGATCCCCAGCCACTCTGGGCGGCTTCCAACAAAAATTAAAAATACATTAAAATGTCACACATTAAAACCTTCCCTGAACAGGGTTGCCTTCAGATGTCTTCTAAATGTCATGTAGTTGTTTGTCATGTAGTTGTCTGGTAGTTGTTTATCTCTTTGACATCTGATGGGAGGGCATTCCACAGGGTGGGCACCACTACCGAGAAGGCCCTCTGCCTGGTTCCCTGTGGCTTTGCTTCTCGCAGTGAGGGAACCGCCAGAAGGCCCTTGGTGCTGGACCTCAGTGTCCAGGCAGAACAATGGAGGTGGAGACACTTTAGGGCTTTAAAGG